TCTGAAATAGAGCTGGGCTTAAGAGCAAGGTTTTCCGATCACATCCTGGTCACCTCCGCACTATTATGCTTGATCTCTTTTAAGATTGTAGGAAGTGAGCAAAAAAGATACCAAAGAGCATTACCCTGAGCAAGAATAGAGTCAATGGCAACTTCAGCTTTGTATGCCAAATTGATAATATGCCTCTGAAGATCTTTAAGAATTTCATGTTCATGCTGCACCTTTGCAACATCTCTGAAAATATATGTTAGATATGAGAACTCTTTCTCTAAATAACAATATGAGGCTTTATCATCAAAACTAAAGCTAATTAAGATTTCATCATCTCATTCAATTTTCTTAATAGAGAATCCAGAAAGCTCAAACCACCAACTGTGGGAAACTCATATGGAGTGAATTTTAAGGATTTGTAGTACCTCTTCAGTTGTGCCTTTAGATGTTCAGTTTTCTCCAATATCTGTATCGAGCAAAGGTTTATCTTGCTAGTATTATCTTTGATAATAGAGCTATGAATTTGTCACGACCCAAACCGAAGGGCCGCAACGGGTACCCGGTGCCTTACTCAACCGAGTACCAACGTAACATAATATACAAACTTATACAGGTGACGTACAGGCCCATAAGGCCGACATGACCATTTGTAAACTCAAAACATAGGCCGACAACGCCAATACAGTATCCATACACCTGGCATCCGTCTACAAGCCTCTAAGAGTACATAATATCATAAAGGTCGGGGCAGGGCCCCGCCATATCAATCAATAAATATCCAAAACATACTGACCAAATAAGCAACTCCGGATCAAGTGGAGTGCACCAACACCTTCTGCTGAGCTGATAGCCTACTTGGAGGAATGTCAACCTGTCTATCGGGGCCTGCGGATATGAAACGCAGCGTCCCCAGGCAAAAGGGACGTCAGTACGAATAAAGTACCGAGTATGTAAGGTAGGTAAGCATAAATAAGAACTGTAATGCAAAGAGAGATAGATGGGATACAACCTGGAACATCTAAGTGCCTCTGGGGGGCTACTGACATAAGATGCATAATACATATATATTCATAAACTTTTAAAAACATACGCATCTGTGAGCATCATCATCATCATCATCATATCGTACTCGGCCTCAAAGAGGACTCGGTAAAAACGTACCCGGCCATCATAAGGCTCGGTAGAATCGTACCCGGCCACGTAGAGCTCGGTAAACCCAACTGATCAGTGGTTGCATAATAGGTGTCGTACCCGGCCGACTATAGCGCGGCTCGGTAGAGTAAAATATATTCATATATATATAATGCATGCTTGACTCATGGAATCACCTTCTAAACCTTTTGAAGTGACTTAAGAACATTATGGACATCCATATCCTCAATATGAACCTTAGTAGGATTCAAAGATCATACACATTTGCTTAGAATAATTTCATAAGGAAAGAACAACATGGATAACCTTAGTTGCTAGGAGTAGATTCATTATGAAGTAGCGTATCTTTTATGTCCGTTTCAATTTAGATCATGCCAAAAGAAATACAGAAGTGCCTTAACATACCTTAACCATGGTGAGTCCTGAATACCTCTCAAGAAAATCTTCAAACAACTCAACTCAATCTACCATTGCATAAGGAGATTCAAAATCAGTGTTGAATAAAGGCTAAGTTTGCAACTTAAACTTGTAGCTTGTTTATATAAATTCGGGCAGCATCTCCCCTGTAAAAGAGCCTCCTCCAATACCATATACCAACAACAATTACTATAGAAATCCAGCAATACATAATTATCAATAACAAGACACCATAAAATAACAACAAGTCGTAAGTATTTCACGACAAGCGACAAGCTCCAATTGGAATTCGTATACCACATATCATTCCTTATAGACTTGTTACTTTAGCTTAATAGCATCATTAACATGATAGTGAATTCATTCATCAATAATTCCAGCCTTATACCACATATCCATACCAAAGAAAATGATCCACAACTCCAATTATTCTTAATTAGCAACTTTATTCACTAATTCATGTCTAGTTCATCCATTTAACTCAACCGATGTCAATATAACCTTAAGCACCTGTAGGAACACAATATAATTACCTCCTACAGTAGATTCAAGTCGAATTCAATATTATATATGGCTTACAACAGCCCAACACACCCCAATCAATTCATACCAAGAACGACGACTATAGTAGTGTCCAACACCCCGAAAATATTATAAAGAATGACTAATCCATCATTTCAAAATTATGTGGTGTTTCTCCACACTATTTATCCTCCAAAAACTCTATTAAATGGCAGCAAAATATACAGCCCAAAAGCAACACGAAACAGCAAACAAAACAGCCCATTACAAACCAAATAACTCGAACCCACGGCTTCCGATTACCGTCCCATTAGTTCTAACAATTATAAAATAAATTAATAAATCTTCCTTGATGTTTAAGAGCTTGAAACCAGAAATTAGGAATTTTTATTAACTTCAAAATACCTTCCAAAACTCAAACTACAAAGAAAAAGAGAGAATATATAACGATACTTACGTCATAGGGATCGTTTTGATGTTATTGCTCCGTGATTTCGTGCCTCGGATGATAGTATCATTGAAAATCCTTATGGAGGACTTTGAGGATGAGTTTGGGGGTGTTATATGGTAAAGTTATCTGTAAAACCAAAGTAAGACACGAGACAGAGGGATAAAAATCCATTTTTCCAAAAGTAAAAAAAGAATGCCACGTGCATTGGCCCCCTTTTCAAACGCTTGTATCTTTCTATCCGGATGTCATATGAACGAACAGTTAAGAACTTTAGAAACTAAATTCCAAGACCTTCAATTTGATATATAATATATCTCAAAAAGACTTCATATAGAATACGAAATTTATTACTCAAAAAGCTTCCTTACAAGGCAAATCCTTAGTCGGTTTTTCCGCAACTTAAATCCGATTTTTCTCAAACTTTATATTTCATATCAAAACATCATATATAGTCATATAATGGCTTAAGACTCATTTAAATCGTGATTAAAAAATCTCATATTCATCTTAACTTGCTTAACACTTTGGCAAACCTTTCTTGTCCTTATAGAAGGATTTCATCCTTTTTGAGCTTACATCAATTGACTCACGACGTACATTCATATACAAAAACATGGGTTGTAACAGAATTACACATAGTACATCACCCACAAGAGATCCAGCCTCTTCCAAGACCTCATTCAACCTCTTACCATTAATAACATGATTTGGCACATCAGCAAGAAAGACCAACAAAAACTCTACTGCCACATTAATATTTCGAATAGAGATAGTATCAGAAAAGTTCTTAAGCTTCTTGCACTTGAGAAACACCAGTATACTGTGGAGCTGCTGTGAAAAATCTTTAGGGAATTTCTGCTTTTCGAAAGTTCTTGATTGACAAAACTTTGAAGCCCTTATTTCACCAAGAAAAGTCTTCTTCATTTCCAGCTCCACTAGCACAATCAGACATAATAGATATGGAGGTTTACTCACCAAATCATTTTCATCCTCATATGAATATGTATCATCGGTATCTTCATCTGAATCTGTAATGTCAATTGAATCAGTATTACCTTCATACTCATATGAATATGTATCATCTGTATCTTCATCTGCATCTATATCATCTTTGTCCTCATCCGCATCTATATCATCTTTATCCTCATCCGAATCTGCATCATCTTTAACGTCATCTGATTCTGCATAATCTTTAACCTTATCAAGCCAAAGAGCAAGGCAGAACTGTCCCACATTGTCAGCCATGAACTGAATTCGAGTCTCCAGACCTTCCAGCTTCTCGTGGTCGATGTAACTATTTATCTCCGTGGCATATAAGTATCTCAAAAATCTCAATTTCTTTTGAATGATTTTCACTTGCTTTAAAAATCGCTTAAGCTGAAGGATTCGATTATTCGTCCACTCAATATCCAATTCCAAGAACATTTGTACATCATTTAGATTCTTGGCGATGCAATCCATATATTCTGATAGATGGGAATCATTCAACTCAAAATTGTACCTTAAGTTGGTATTACCTCCAATGAATTCCAGCAACTGTGAAACTAGCCTTTCCATTAAGGTCAGTTTTGCATTCATCAAAAACTGATTGAAGCATTTCATCAATCAGTTGGGCCTTCTTTGTGATTTTGACAAAGGAATCAGGCAAAAGAAGATGATGGTATTTGAGAAAAGTGGTCAAAAATCTTAGCTCAATTTCAAGTGTCTTAATCTTGATGCTGTTCAGATCATGACCTCTGCTCTTCATCCTTGTTAGGTTATCTAACATATCCTCAATATCATTTTGAGTCATCTTCTGTAGAAACTTCCTGCAAGTTCACCAACTCTTGTAATATTAGTTTCACTAATAATAACATTTTTTTAAATGTAATATTAGCTCCGTTTCAAGTGTCTTATCCATCCTATGTCATTTAAATTTTTTTCTATTTTAAAACTCTTGAAGTTCAGTTTTCTATTTTTTTTTTGGGTGGAAATTATAAATACTTAAACTGGTACAGAAAAGTTTGTGGGATGCGAAACTTGCATCAGATTACACACTAACTACAGTAGTAGCTACATTACTATTACTACTACTACCATTCCTACTACAGAAACTACTATTAGCAAACTTGAAGTTCAACAACAACAACAACAACTACTCAGTATATTCCCACAAAGTGGGGTCTGGGAAGGGTAATACGTACACAGACCTTACCCCACCCGAAAGGGTAGAGAGGCTGTTTCCGACCGATCCTCGGCTCAAAGAAAGGGAGAGAAAAATTCAAACAAACAAAACAAAACAGCTTTAGTAAATCCGACATAAATCACATTAATAATTATCTAAATATAAAACCAAGAATAGAATGACATGCAATAATACCAATCGATCAGTGCCATAAGAGGCACAATACAATGCATAAGTCAACTATAGAGAGCCCTACCAAACCTACCCAGCCCCGGACAGAAGTACAAAAAATCGTAGAAGCCCCTATCCTACAACCCTAATACTAGACCTCCAGACTTTCCTATCAAGGGTCATGTCCTCGGAAATCCTCATTTTAGCCATATCCTGCCTAATCACCTCACCCCAATACCTCTTAGGCCTCCCTCTGCCTCGACTCGCGCCAACCACCGCCAATCGCTCACAACTCCTCACCGGGGCATCAGGGCTTCTCCTCCGCACATGCCCAAACCACATGAGTCTCGCTTCTCGCATCTTCTCATCTACTGGGGCCACTCCCACCTTCTCCCGAATAACTTCATTCTTAATCTTATCTAACCTGGTGAGCCCGCACATCCACCTGAGCATCCTCATCTCCGCAACTTTCATTCTCTGGACATGAGAGTTCTTCACAGGCCAACATTCCACCCCATACAACATGGCAGGTCTAACCACCGCTTTATAAAACTTCCCCTTGAGACAAACTTGAAGTTCAGTTTTCTATTTAATCATATGGAAGTTACTTCCGGATAAATTCACACAGTCAAAGTGTAAATCTATAATTAGTATTTGTGAAGATCCTAATTATTATATATAATTTATCATCAAATATATCTATTTGTAAATTCATTCATCGACTTATAACGTATTTAGATGCATCGATGAATATTAAAATAAAATATTTTGACCTATATCGATTAATATAAATAACAAAACGTCTCGACCTAAAATAGAATAATATTATATTGGTTTATCAATTGATAAATTATTCATACATAGTAATGTATAAAATTGATCATCAATTACAATATAGAGTATGTGTGTTTGTGTGAAATTACTCATATAGTACTTAAATATAACTTAGATAATTTACTTATATAGATGCCATTATAATCTATTAAAAGTTAGTTAATATAATATTGTGTAAATATTATGCTTATAATCTATAATTATTTATAATAATTTTATAGTTAAGTAAAATAAATATTTATAGTTAATAATAATTTTTTATAATTATTATATTTAATATAATTTAATTTTGGTGTAATTAGGAAAAAATAATTATCTTGAATTAACTAAAAAAATTTAACTAATTTATAATTGTAGAATAAATTAATTTGTTTTTGTTTTATTTGTATAGATAGAATATCATACTTGGATGTACAATAGGAATTATCCTAATCGGCGGAGATTGCGGGATTATTTTGTAGAAGAGGTTGATGACTTTATTAGACATGCAATGTTACTTCCACCGTACCAAAGTGAAGGAGTAATTAGATGCCCTTGTGTCAAGTGCGATTGTATGAAGTTTAAAAACGGAGGAAGTAAGCTTCATCTTTATAGGAAGGGGTTTATAGAGAATTACTTTGTGTGGACTAACCATGGAGAGATTGATGGTAGCCGTGTGATATTTCATAACATGGTTGTTGGTGAAAGTAGTAGGTCGGTGAAGAATACTAATCTTAATTCTAGAATTCAAGATATGGTTGCGGATGCTTTTGGGATGCACTTCGGCGGTGAGCCCAATGAAAATATTGAACAAACCCCTAATGATGATACAAAATATTTTTATGAACAATTAGAGGAAGCTAGTCTCCTACTACGTAACTGAGATCCGCACTCTGAGTTGTCTGTTGCCGTTAGATTACTAAGTATCAAATCTGACTGGATTATTTCTCAAGCAGCCATGGACACTTTCATTGACCTTATGAATGAACTAGTTGACCTAATATCAACTTACTTGGTGATTTCTATAAGACAAAGAGAATGGTTTCTAAGTTAGGACTTTCTTCGATGAGAATTGATTGTTGTAAAGGTGGTTGCATGTTATATTATAAAGATGATGCAACTTTAGACAATTGTAAATTTTACGAAAAACCTCATTTCAAGAGGCTTTCCAGCGGGAATATGGTCGTTGTCAAGGCGATGCATTATTTACCTCTTATACCTAGGTTAAAAAGGTTATATGCGTCGATGTGTTCTGCTCCTCATATGAGATGGAACTTTGAAAATAGAAGACTACATGGTATTATGTGTCATCCTTCATATGGTGAAGCTTGGAAGCACTTTGATAGGACATATCCAGATTTTGCTAGTGAACCAAGGAACATTCGGTTAGGTTTGTGTGCGGATGGCTTCATGCCTTTTTCTATATCCGTGGCACCATCTTCATGCGAGGCAGTAGCTCTGACCCCCTACACCATCCACACATGCCTCTGATACACATGCTTCGGACGATGATGACGAGGAAGTGTATTATGATCAATATGGCAGGATCATTATAGTCCCTAAGGGTGATGGGTAAGAGTTACTATTTGTTATTTTTGCGTTTATTGTTTTGTAACATTTTTACTAAGATATTAATGTATTTTTATTGTTAAATTGCAGGTTCAAGCTAAGTAATAAGACTACGAGGATAATCACCAATGCCATCATAATGCTTTGTGATGACCCTTATGCGACTTGGATTGATTTCCCATTCTTGTTGAAGGAGCAAATTTTAAATCATTTTAAGGTATACATGTTCTTTTAAGATGTTTAATAATTTATATTTATGATATTTCCATATAATATTTAACTTTTGAAATACAGAGCAAGTGTGTATGGAAGACCGCTATAGCACGGAAGTGGCTGCAAATTTTCATCACAAAGCTCGCAAGAGATTGGCAGATAGTTTCTCCGATGCTAGAAAGAAGTACAAGAGGCTTGGCTGGTTACCTCAGAATTTATGAGATGATTTGCAAAGGCAATTGCCTACTGCAGAGTTCTTAGAGAAGAGCAAAAAAGGAAAGAAAGCCCGTGCATCCGAGAAGGGAGGCTCCTTGCACACTGGAGGTGCGATCAGCCTAGGGAAAATAAAAAGAAGATTAGTACGTAATTGCTTAAATTATCTTACTTTTCAAAGTATATTTATTCTTTTTATTAACCAAATTAATTTGTTTTCAGGAAAAGAAATTGGGTGTCCAATAAGCCATGATGAGCTATTCAATGAGATGCATATTGTAAATAAGAAGAAAAAGACGGATCAAGAAAGGTGGGGTTGAGAACCGGACCTTCACTGTATATGTAAGTTTTCATTTTTCTTTAAGTATTATAATTTACTTTTATATAAATTTTGAGATACTAATTCAATTTAAAATAAGATATGGTCGCTACCAAAGTAACGTGGAGAAATTCATTTGCAGTCCTCCAGCTGGTGAATCGGGCAAGCCAACGTAACCTTCAGACGAGGATGCTGAAAACATATGGTTGGAGTCTATTTACAGTACAAAATGGTGAAAGGTATACGAACTTCCTACTAAAATGTTCCATCACTATAAGTGTGGAATGCAAGGTATAAGGACTTCCTTGCAAGGCGAGCAACTTAATGGGGAGAGCCTCTCCGCTATGTGGGAGACTGTGACAAAGCTCACATCAGAGCTAGAAGCGGCCAAGGAAAGAGAAAGGGTTAGAGATGCTCAATTCCTTAGGATGCAAGCTCATATCAGAACTCTCCTATCTACTAGAGCTTTTCCGTTACCCAGGTCTCGTGAGTCATCGCCAGAGGTTCGACCTCCACGTGATCATTCCTCCCGTCCTGTTCGTGATCATTCCTCTCGTCCTCCCCGTGGTCTTTCTTATCATTTTCCACAAGACCCTTCTCTATACCATCTTGTAGATGAAAGTTCATTAGACGGTGATAATAATATTGTACAAAACATACCTTGACTTTTATATACTTTTAAATAGACAAATAGAACCAGCTTTTAAGTTGTTGTAATTAGTTTTAACTTGGTTTTGGATTGTTATATTCAATTGAATTTTAATTTTTTTTTTGTTATTGTTATGGTGTTGTTGTGGTGTTGTTGTTTGTAGTTGTTATTGTTGTTGTGTTGTGTTGTGTTGTAGTTCTGTTGTTGTTGTTATTGTTGTTGTATTGGTATATGCTGGCAGGTGGTGTAGCTGCCAAAACAAGCATTTTATGCCAAAATTAAACCCACAAAAAAAGACCAAAGTTGGTCGGTATCTAATAAAAAAAAATTACTGCATATTACCAACCAAAGTTGGTTGGTATTCATTAAAAAAAATATTATTGACAATTACCAACAAAAGTTGGTCGGTTAGTGAACAAGGAATTCCCAGAATTCAACATTATCGACCAACTTTGGTCGGTATTGTTAAATTTTAATTTTTTTTGTAACAATATATATTTTTATTTACCGACCAACTTTGGTCGGTATCTTTTTAATTTAATAATTAATAAAAAAATATAAATTAAATACACCGACCAACTTTGCTCGGTAAAATTAAATAATAAAATACGTTTTCTGTATTGGTCAAAATTGACTCACCACGTCTTCACACTACATAGGCACGCCCTTGCCACAAAGGACGGCCTTAACAAGGACGGCCCAAGTAAGAACGACCTTAGAAACAAGGTGGCCAGTTAATAAGACCCGTGACAGTGACGTTTCAGGCTCTGACACATCCGTATACTGAGGCCACCAACCGATGTACTTTTCTTTTAGTATTTCGAGGGAGAGCCCCTAGTATATAAAGGAGACCTCCTCCTCTTTGTATGGACTCATGTATATTTTGATAGTAAGAATATACAACTCTGACTCTCTCTATATATATCTCTACTTCTCTCTCTCTATCTTGCTCAGATTGTCATTTACATTACTGTTAACCTTGCTATCTCTACATAGTTGGGATACTTAACTCAAAGTTATCACCGATCTTAGCTCCGCATTTATCTCTAAACCTTATTATACTTGATTCCGATTTACCCCCATTTTATAAAATTTACTGTTCTTGAGCCTAATAAGCATTCATATAGCTTTTAGCCAAACAATTTGGCACCGTCTGTGGGGATTTCATGAATCACAGCTGTAGTTTGTTCCTAGAGATCTTCCAAAAAACCATTCTATACAACACAAAATGGCTGAAAACAACGCAAGAATGAAAGCTGTTGTGGGTGCTAGGGCTGATCTCATGGACTCCCTCAACGCAGCTGCTGGAGGAGATGCTTTACATGCAACTCCGAGCACCATGATAAACGTGGAAAACACGCCACCTTCCCCTTCCGAGGATATGATAGTTCCACAGGAAAAGGAGGCTTCCACATCCACAACCAAAGAAGCACCCCCTGAAGTAAGAAGTTTACTAGAAGAGTGGTTGACAAACGCTCTCAGTGGCTTGGCTGAGAAGCCATCTCAAAATGCTAGACGCACACCAACAATCAAACATGCCGCGGTCGAAGATGAACACGAGATCACTCAAACAAACGATATGCTCGCCGGTACTCAAGCTCACGACGATATGCTCATGGCCATCCTTAAAAAGATGGAGGAAATGGAAAATGAAAACAGGTCACTCCACGACCAGATGAAGGAATATCAAGAAAGGGTGGACAAAATCTCAGGTGCACCTAAGATGTTGCCTAAACGAGACATGGGGAAGTTTGTGAAACAACCCTACACCGAAGAAGCTGCACCATACCCCATCCTAAAGACCTTCAAAATACCTCCCTATTTGAGGGTATATGACGGAACCTCGGACCCCGAGGACCATCTGATTCACTATGTCACGGCCGTCAAAGGTAATGATCTATCCAAGGAGCAGGTACCGTCTGTGCTTCTGAAAAAATTCGGCGAAACCCTAACAGGAGGAGCCCTGACATGGTATTCCCAGTTTCCGGCCAGAGGCATCTCCACATTCGAGGAAATGGCGGATAAGTTTGTCACCGCTCATGCTGGGGCCAAGAAAGAGGAAGCTCGGGTCAACAACATCTTTGCTATTCGACAAACCTCAGGAGAGGGGCTCAGGGAGTTCTTAGCTAGGATCAACAGAGTTAGAATGAACTTACCTAATGTATCGGAGGGCATGGAAGTCGCAGCTTTTCAAAACGGGCTCAACAGAGACGGCTCAAGGGCGACCAAGAAATTGCTCAGCCACCTCATGAAGTATCCCCCACCACTTGGGAAGAAATTCATAATGCCTACTGTGCCGAAGTGCGTGGGGACGACGACGACCTTAATGGACCAACCAGGTGGTTGATAATAGTGCATCCGGAAATCCAGAGAGACCGACGCAGTGAGAGACAACGGGTGCAAATCCCACGCCTCAACAGAGAAAGGAACCAACCGTACAACTGGCCTTCACACCCACCACCACCAAGACATGCGGACGCCGTACAACGACACGTTGCTACACTGCGGAACGACAGAGGTATGCCTCCTTTACTATCTGCACATAACTTTTATGTATCTCCTTCAGAAATAGTGTACGCACTAGAGAAGCTCGGCAACAAAGTACAATGGCCAACGAAGATGAAGTCTGACCCCGCCACCAGAAAGTCGAACGTCCTGTGCGAATTCCACCAGGAACGCAAGCACAGAACCGAGGACTGCATAGGCCTTCATCAAGAAGTGGTCCGGATGCTGAACCAGGGATTCTTGAAAGAACTACTAAGTGACAAAGGGAAACTCAATTTTGCACGAGGACGGGAACAGCCTCAGGGCCCGCCAAGTCCGCCCTCGCCAACCCCCACCATCAACATGATCATTGGGGACGGTAACGACTCAGCAATCAACCATGTCAAATTCACCACCACACACAAATTAAAGCAAACTATCGCCCACGAACGGTATGACGACTTCGAAGATAGTATCACCTTCGATAAGTCAAATACCAACGGTTTGTCTTTTCCCCATTATGATGCTTTGGTTATTACTTTACGCATAGCTGATACTGATGTCAAGAGAATCATGATCGACGACGGTAGTGGCGCGTGTATCATTCATCCGAGAGTCATTGCTTTAATGGGACTCGAGGATAAATAATACCGTGCTGTATAACACTAACTGGCTTTAATAATGCAGTTGAAAGAACCTCTAGAGAAATAACACTGCCCGTCCTGGCAGAAGGAGTTATCATGGAAACCACGTTCCATGTGATGAACCAAGAAACAACGTACAACGCTATCATCGGGAGGCCGTTGATACATGCCATGAGAGCAGTCCCCTCTAGTTTCTACCAAGTGATCAAATTCCCTACGCCGCGGGAGTGTTCAGCATCAGGGGAAAACCACGCACCGCCAAGAATGTTACAAAATAGCCCAAGATCATACGTACACCAGGAAACTCGAAGGAGAAAGTGTGAAAGCATAGCAATCAGCCCTGTCGAGGACCAAGGTCCACCCGACAGAGGACGCAATCAAAGAGCCTGACACTGTTGAAGCCAACAAGGTTATAGTCGAGGATCTCGATCCCGTCCAGCTAAGCAACAACGACTCAACAAAGAAAGCTTACATAGGCCACGGCCTGTCTAACCCAAGTAAGTACCGTGACTTTTTATCTAACCACTCCGATCTGTTTGGTTTTTCTCACGCAGATATGCCGGGAATTCCACGGGAAGTCTCCACCCACAAGCTGAACGTCAATCCACGGCATCCGCCTATACGGCAGGCAAGGAGAAAATTCAACGCCGCCATCAACGAAGCAGTAAGCGAGGAAGTGGACAAATTATCAAACAGTTTCGTCAGAGAATCTAAGTATCCGGAATGGGTCGCCAACATCGTCATGGTCAAAAAAAAAAGGGGAAGTGGCGAATGTGCGTAGATTTTACCGATTTAAACAAAGCATGCCCAAAGGATTCATTCCCACTACCTCACATCAACAAATTAATAGACGCTATGATTGGACACGAGCTATTAAGCTTCCTGGACGCATACTCTGGCTACAACCAAATCATTATGGCCGAGGAAGACCAGGAGAAAACGACTTTCATCACTCACCGAGGTACGTATTGTTATAAAGTAATGCCTTTTGGACTCAAAAATGCAGGGGCCACATACCAAAGGCTGGTAACTACGATGTTCAAGAAGCAGCTGGGAAAAACAATGGAAGTCTATATCGACGACATGCTGGTAAAGTCGTCAAATAAAGAGGACCACCTCGACCACCTAAAAGAGGCCTTTGAAATATTAAGAAGGTATGGAATGAAATTAAATCCCGAAAAATGCGCCTTCAGCGTCGCCTCAGGAAAGTTCCTAGGATTCATGGTATCACAAAGGGGCATCGAAGTCAACCGGGACCAGATCAAGACCGTAGAAGCCATCCCAGATAAACTGAGCAGCAAAAAACAGGTGCAAAAGCTCACAGGTCGAATAGCCGCCCTCTCCAGGTTCATTTCACGCTCCTCTAACAGATGCCATAAGTTCTTCGGCGTTTTGAAAAAGGACCAGGGACTGCAATGGAACGAGGAATGCATCGAAGCATTGAGGAACTTGAAGGAGTACCTGTCATCGCCGCATCTACTAGTCAAAGCCAACCCAGGCGAACCACTGGTGTACTTGGCCATATCCGAGGTAGCGGTCAGTGCGGTCCTAGTACGAGAAAATAAAGGTACGCAATCCCCTATCTACTACATTAGCAAAACTTTGGTGGACGCCGAAACTCGGTACCCACACCTTGAGAGACTAGTACTAGCACTCGTAGTAGCTTCACAAAAACTACAACCCTATTTTCAGTGCCATCCTATAAGGGTAGTAACGACCCTCCCACTTAGAAGCATCTTACACAAACCCGAACACTCAGGACGGCTCGCCAGATGGGCCATTGAGCTCAGCGAGCATGATGTCACTTACCTTCCAAGAACCTCCATCAAGTCGCAAGTCCTAGCCGATTTATTGCCGACTTTAGTGCGGAAGTCCTGCCAGAAGCAGAACTCGAAGTTCAACGCGCATCCTCCCAAAGCGACATATGAGTTCTTTACACGAATGGCACCGCCAATGCATTAGGATCGGGACTGGGACTCGTACTTGAGGTCCCCATGGGCGAAGCGATTCGCCAGTCTATACGATGCCCAGACATGACTAACAATGGGGCCGAATACGAGGCCGTTATTGCAGGCATGAAACTAACCATCAAGTATGGGGCTCGCCGCATCCTCCTCCATTGCGACTCCCAACTCGTGGTAAACCAGGTCACTGGGACTTACCAAATCAAAGAGCAAAGATTGCAGAGGTACCAAACGAAAATCCGCAAGTTAATGGATACGTTCGACGAATGCCGCTTCGAACAAATTCCTAGAGCGCGGAACGTCGAAGCAGACAACCTGGCAAAGCTGGCCGCGGCTACCAAAAATATCAGCAAAGAAAGTGTGGTCACACTCCTCCACTCAGCCATCAACCATACCGAGGTACATTCTTTAAATCTAACCTGGTACTGGCGCAACAAGTTCATATCTTATCTGCAGGGGGAACATTACCACCAGACAAAAAGGAAGCAAAAAAGCTTCGTGTACAGGCCGCTCAGTATTGCATGGTCGACAACAACCTCTACAAAAGGATGTTCGGGGGACCCCTAGCCAAATGCCTAGGACCGCACCAAACAAGGCCAGAGCTCGAAGAAGTGAACGAAGGCCATTGCGTGCACACACAGGTAACCGCGTCCTCATACGGTGCATCATACGCGCCGGCTACTATTGGCCCACTATGAAAAAAGAGGCAACCGAGCATGTCCGCCGATGCGAGCAATGCCAAAAGTACGCCCCAATGATACACCAACCAGGAGAACCCCTCCACTATGTCACATCTCCTTGGCCCTTCATCAAATGGGGAATGGATATAGTTGGCCCCTTACCCGCAGGTAAAGGAAAGGTACAATTCTTACTCGTTTTAACTGACTACTTCTCTAAGTAGGTCGAAGCAGGTGCGTACGCATAGATACACGAGCAGGAAGTCATCGCCTTCATATGGAAAAACATCATATGCTATTTTGGCATCCCCAAAGATATCAGCTATGACAATGGGCGATAATTTATCAGTAAAAAAAAGACCGAGTTCTTCGAGAATATATCTTTTTGAGAGTTTAATTTGTATGTGAAAAGAAAAAAATGAAAGAAAACGGTTAGACAAAGTCGTCGGTGAATGAATATCCACCGGAATTAGAGAAGAAATAAAATAAAATAAAAAAGTAAAAGAAAAAAAGAAAAAGAAAAAGGAAAAGGAAAAGGAAAAGAAAAAAACAATCTGAAAATTGTTTTCTCTTGCTCCTCACTCTCCTTTGGGTGTAATAGAATTCCCGCAAAAAAAAGGTGTGTAGTTGGGATTTCGGATATAGATCAGGGGGTAATTGTGCATTTTTCGTATTTTAATTGAATAGTTAGTAGTTTTTACTGGGTCTTTATTGTTGTTGCGAAATGGGGATGTATGTGTAAAAATAAAAGTGAAGGAAGACGAAAATGGTGAGATGGACTCTATTTTTTCCAGCGAGAAGTTCGCCGGAGTTCTTTAGGGAATCCGTTACAGTGGCCGAAAATAATTAAATGTGTTAGAGATTGTTTTATTAATAAGATATAACTAATTGTAAAATATCCACTAGTAAAGAGACATATGTAGACATTTAATAAAAATTTTAGGTACTTTTATGCTCTCACACGCCTCCAAGAAAGTGAACACACTTTCTGTTCCACGTCATCTCTCAAGGAAATATTTATTCTACTTTAAAATAGTTCGGGGGGAGGGGGGGGTAACATGACCCTCGCAAAATTTAAGTGTGTAATTGGAAATCCAACTATAGGTCAAGGGGGTACTTATGCATTTTCCCCTCTATAGTCTCATAGTAGTATTGATAGACATGAATAAAAACCAGTCTCGTTATTTCAATTTATGTGAACCTATTTGATTGAGTACAAAATTTGATAAAAAAAGGAAGATTTTAGGAACTCGTGGTTTTAAATATAAAATAACATTTGTGTGGTTATAATACTTTTGAAACTTGTGGTTCCAACTTTCAGACCTGCGATAACATTTGTTTGGCTATGACTGTTTTTCATTAAGGCTAAAATGGGAAATCGAAGTTAAACTGTTTCCAAATTTAGAAAAAAGATTATTTTTTAAATTAATTTAAAAGAAAATAGATTCACATAAACTGAAAGAAGGAAGTACTTCTTAGTGAAAATTGATATGACAAGAGTATGGTGAACTTGCAGGAGTTTTCTACTTTATCTAAGGAAGATGTCTTACAAGAGTTTGGAGATTAGGCCCTGCTTGGTGGCTGAGCCATCTAAACATATGCAAAATCTACAGAGTGACCCTATGAATGATGAGGAGATAGTTGGTTTTGAGAAAGACGCTGAAAAAATAATTAAGCGTCTAAATGAAGGAAAAAAGGAGCTAGACGTCATCCCAATTGTTGGGAAGGCTGGACAAGGTAAAACAACTTTTGCTAGAAAGTTGTATAACAATGATAACATTGTTTACCATTTTGATGTTCGAGCATGGTGCATCATTTCCCAAACATATAATCGACAAGAGTTATTACAAGAGATTTTCAATCAAGTTATCGGTTCCAAGGAAAAGGTAGATGAGGTTGGCGAACATGTCCCGGACATGTTGAGGAAAAGATTAATTGGCAGGAGATATCTGATTGTCTTGGATGATATGTGGGATATTAAAGCGTGGGAAGATTTAATATTATCTTTCCCAAATGGTGAAACAGGAAGTAAAATAATAGTAACAACCCGACTAGAGGAAGT